GCCCCTTCTTTCTCCATCTTTAAAGTGAGCAGCTTAGCACCTTCAAATATATCTCTGACCCTGAGCCTCTTGCTTGCATTGTTACATCGCCTTCTCATCTAATCTTTACCCTCCTGCCTTCCTCTCATAAGGATCTTTGTGATTATACTGGTCCCACTGGATAATCCAGGATAACCTTTCCATCTCAAAATCCTTAATCACATTTGCTAAGTCCCTTTGCCATGTAAGGTAACATGGACAGTAGGACCTGGACATCTTTGGGAGGCCATTATTCTGTCTACCATACTTTAATACTATAATAATGATTGTTCTGATAAGGTTGTGACCCATAGATATAATTAAAGCCCAAGGGTTGATGCTTGCTCTCTTTTTCTGGTCTCAGGGTAGGTAGATTTCTTTTTTGACTATGGGTTGGGCTGAACCTGCTCCAAGAGTGCAGTGTCTACAGAAGAACAACCCCATTCCTACCAGGCTGAACCCCTGGCCCCTGAGAGAAGACTAGTTGTTGTAAAGCACTGAGTTGCCTGAAAATGTGGATATTGGCATTCATTGGAAGCTAACCTGGATTGAAAAACTCTTTTTTATTTATTTTTATTTTTTCCTAACCACTAGATAACCAGGGAGAAAAACTTAATATATTTTTTCTTGGGAACATATGATGTTTACTTTTTGAGGCACCTAACTTGGTAAATGTCTTAAGTGTTTTGCTCTCTGGGATTTATCTGAAGTCACTGAGATATTCTCTCAGCTGTGTGTCCTGACCTAAAAATTGGGATATATGGTCTGACAACAGATTTTTGATGTCCTTTTCAGAGTCAAAGGATTTGGAAGATGCAATTTGGTTGAAGATACATTATAATTTTTGGTACATCTTGATAGTTAAGAGAGGATAATGTGGCAGAATGAATCAAATAAAAGAGTTATCATTTACTGAGAACTTTATGAAGTGCCAAGTGCTATGTTATGTTCTTTATGCATATTATCTCATTTTACCTTCACAACAATCCAGTGAGGTGGAAATTATCACCCTTGAGGTTCCATCTCAAGGTGGTAGTGGCAGGCTCAGAATTTAAACCCACAACAACAAACAAAAAAAGAAAACTATAGACCAATATCTCTTATGAACATAGATGCAAAAATCATCAACAAAATACTAGCAAAACAAATTCAACAGCACATCAAAAAGATAATCCACCATGATCAAGTGGGTTTCATCCCAGGGATGCAAGGATGATTAACCACATAAACAGAAGTAAAAACAAAGATCATATGATCATCTCAATAGATGCAGAAAAAGCATTTGATAAAATCCAGCATCCTTCATGGTAAAAATCCTCAACAAACTAGGCGTATAAGGAACATACTTCAAAATAATAATAAGCCATATATGACAAACCCATAGCCAACATCATACTGAATGGGGAAAAGTTGAAAGCATTCCCCCTAAGAACTGGATGAGGATGCCCACCGTCACCACTTCTATTCAACATAGTACTGGAATCTTAGCTAGAGCAATCAGGCACGAGAAGAAATAAAAGGCATTCAAATCAGGAAAGAGGATGTCAAACTATCCTTGTTTGCCAATGATTTGATCTTATACCTAAAAAACCCTAAAGATTCCACCAAAAGACTCCTAGAATTGATAAATAAATTCAATAAAGTCCCAGGTTATAAAATTAATGTACACAAATTAATAGCATTTCTATGTACTAATGACAGTCAAGCTGAGAGTCAAATCAAGGACTCAGTGCCATCTACAATACTGCAAAGAAGGCTGAGGTGAGAAGATCGCTTGAGATCAGGAGTTTGAGACCAGCCTGAGCAAGATTGAGACCCCATCTCTATAAAAAATAGAAAAATTAGCCAGGCAGGGTGACATACACCTGTTGTTCCAGCTACGCAGGAGACTGAGGGAGGAGGATTGCTTGAGCCTGAGAGTTCGAGGTTGCAGTGAACTATGATGAAGCCACTGCATTCCAGCCTAGGTGGCAGAGTGAGACCCTGTTTCCAAAAGAAACCCTCCCCCCCCCCAGCCCCTGCCAAAGATACTGAGGAATGAGGAATATAGTTAACCAAAGAGGTGAAAGATCTCTATAAGTGGAACTACAAAACGAATGAAATGAAAGAAATCATAGATGACATAAACAAATGGAAAAGCATCCCATGCTCATGGTTTGGAAGAATCAACATTGTTAAGATGTCCATTCTGTCCAAAGTGATTTACAGATTCAACACAATTCCTATTAAAACACCAACATCATTTTTCACAGATCTAGAAAATAATTCTAAACTTCATATGGAACCAAAAAAGAGTCTGAATAGTCAAAGAAATCCTTAGCAAAAAGAACAAATCTGGAGGCATTACATTACTTGACTTCCAATTATACTACAAGGCTATAGTAACCAAAACAACATGGTACTGGTATAAATGTAGACACATAGACCAATGGAACAGAGTAGAGAACTCAGAAATAAAACCGTATAGCTATGACCAATTGATTTTTGACAAAGCAGACAAAAACATACACTGGAGAGAGGATGCCCATTATTCAATAAATGGTGCTGGGGAAACCAGATAGACACATGCAGAAGAATGAGATTATATCCCTGTCTCTTACCATATACAAAAATTAACTCAAGATAGATTAAAGACTTAAATGTAAAACCTGAAACCATAAAAATTCTTGAATAAAACATAGGAATAACTCCTCTAGACATTGGTCTACTCAAAGAACTTATGAGTAAGATCCCAAAAGCAAATACAGCAGCAACAAAAATAAATAAATGGGACTTAATTAAACCAAAAACTTTCTGCATAGCAAAGGAAGTAATTGACAGAGTAAATAGACATGCTACAGAATGGGAGAAAATATTCACAAACCGTACATCCAACAAAGGGCTAATATCCAGAATCTACAAAAAATTTAAACTAATAAGCAAGAAAAAAACAAATAACCTCATCAAAAAGTGGGCAAAATATATGAACAGACTTTTCTCAAAAAAAGATAGACAAATGGCCAACAACCATATGAAAAAATGTTTAATGTCACTAATTATCAGTGAAATGCAAATTAAAACCACAATAAGATACCACCTTACCTCTGTCAGAATTGCCATATTAAAAAGTAAAAAACCCAATAGATATTGGCATGAATGAGGTGAAGAGGAAACACTTATTATGCACTGTTGGTGGGAATGTAAACTAGAACAACTGCTATGGAAAGCAGTATGGAGATTCCTCAAAGAACTAAAAGTAGACCTACCATTCGATTCAACAATTCCTCTACTGGATATCTACTCAAAGGAAAATAAGTTGTTACATCTGAAAGACGCTGGCACCCAGATGTTTACCATAGCACAATTCACAATTGCAAACCAACCTAAGTGCCCATCAACTGATGAATGGATAAAGAAAATGTAGTATGTGTGTTTGTGTGTATAAATACACATAGACACAGACACACACACACACACACACACACACACACACACACACACCATGAAGCACTACTCAGCCATAAAAAGGAATGAAATAATGTCTTTTGCAGCAACTTGGATAGAACCGAAGACCATTATCCTAAGTGAAGTCTCTCAGGAATGGAAAAACAGATACCATGTGTTGTCACGTATAAGTGGGAGCTAAATGAGGGATATATATAGTCATAAAGAGGTGTGATGGACATTGGAAATTAAGAAGGAGGGAGGGTAAGAGGAGAATGAGGGATAAAAATCTACCTATTGAGTACAATGTACACTATTCCTGTGACAGGTATACTGAAAGCCCAGACTTCAGCATAATACAATTCATCCATGTAACAAAAACACTTGTACCCCCTAAATTTTGGGGAGAAAAAGAATTCAAACCCAGATCCATCCTACTCAGAAACTAGTGCTTGTGAACTACTACACTTAGAAAGATCTAGGATACGGGGTCCTCCATAAATATATGCATCCCAGAAACTAAAAATATTACATGGAAGATAAGCCAGAGCTCTAGATCTGCAGGTATCTTTCTTTTCATCCTCAGTGAGAGTTGTCTGGTAGCCAAGAAGAGTTGCATTTAGTTCAATGGGGATTTTAGAACTGTCCCTTCAACGTTCTTACTCCCGGGTAAGAGGAAGGACAGAGCACATTGGTATTTTCCTGGCAGCAGACACAGGTTTAAAGGAAATCTGATAGAAAGACGGCCGGTGGTGGTGTGTGGGGGGGTTATTTTTAAAGCCTGCCTTCTTTGTATCCAGCCTGCATCCAGCAGCATCATCAGTGATGCTAAGAATAGGGAACTCCATGCCTTGGAGTAGGGGTGCTGTGAGAGCCCCAGGTGATATTGGAGAGAAAGGATGCCCCTTGGAGACTAAATAGTTCTGTTATGTATATGTCAAAGGCTCAGTTTAGCTCCTGCAGCTTCTTGCAACAGTCTACCCTTGGCAGAGAGACTGAGAGGGGTGGGGCGAGGGGCCCATCTCACTTGAGAAAGTGCAAGCTGACAGCTGAAGGGCCCCAGAGCAGCAATTTTCAGCTTGCCTCTTCTCTTGGACCATTCCAGCTGTCTGTTTTTGATTGACAGAGGCATCTGGCTGCTAAAAATATTCTACTGACCAAGTGCTCCCTATTCCAGCTAAAGCTGAACATAACTGCAGCCAGAACTTAGCATATACAGATAGTTTCTTCCTACAAAGGAACTTTTCAAAACTTTTCAGGCCCAAGCCCAGAACCACATTAGCCCAGAAAATGGTCATTTTCTGCTCAGTCAGCTTTGCTGGGTGATGAGTGAGACCCTTCCCAGATCATTGTCCTCTTGCCTGTCCCATCCCCACCTCCGGGAAAAGTGGCAGAGGGGGAGGTGAGGGCCCAGTGGCTGAGAGGGGGTGGAGAAGGGGAGGTGGCTTGTCCATTTATAGTCTTGCTCTTTGGGATGCCGAAGGTGCTGAAATAGCAGCAGTGACAAGAGACTTGGCTCAGTGTTAAATATCCACCGTGCTGGTCTGACAGACTCTGAGATGACAATAGGGAGAATGGAGAATGTGGAGGTCTTCACTTCTGAGGGCAAAGGCAGGGGTCTGAAGGCCACCAAGGAGTTCTGGGCTGCAGATGTCATCTTTGCCGAGAGGGCTTATTCCGCAGTGGTTTTTGACAGGTATGAAATGTGGGGAGTTGCCTTCTTCTCTCCTGTTGGTTTGGCTGGTGCCAAATTCTAACATACTTTGCTTTCAAAATCATCAGGGCAAAGGATAAAATTCATGTGATCTTTTTTTAACAAGATGGCACCTTTGCCAGTTGTTTTCTGGCATCGCTTTTTCTGCAAGGGGTCATTGCCAGTGTGATTTGCTGTGGTTCCTGAAAGGATGATAAAGGTGAGCAAAGGCTTTGGGCACCTTCTCCTAACACCGGTGAACTTGGCTGAAAGGGTCTGCTGCTTCCAAATGCTATGAAAGCATGGGAAAAAAAAATAAGGAAGAAGGGAGTGTGCTGGGGGTAGAAAGGTGGGTGTGGTTCTGTGGGAAACATTTCCTTACAGAAAACTCCATGTTTTTAGCTTCTTTTGATATAATAAATAAAGGATAAAGTAATTGTTGAGAGTTTAAAAAATTAATTATAAATACATAAGTACCATAGGAATCCATTTACCTTTGAAAAATTAGAGTATCACCCAATCCCAGTCCCTTCTGCCTTTCTTCAGAGGTAACTTATGTTATTATTTCAATGCATTTCCTTCTACAATGTTCTTGTACAATTACATACACATACTTGCACTTATCAAAATGGATAGCTGCAAATTGTCTATGTTGTCTTTTCTTACAGAAGTGATTTCATACTTTAGATATCATTTTGCTCTTTTCTCTAAACATGTTTTTGATGTCTACCTTTATAGGAACTATAAGTCTGTAGATATTTCTTTTAAATCCCCAGAGATCTGTTTCTTCTAACTACATGTAGAGCTATCCATGTAGAATACATATGCTATATGGATCACCAATTTTAATTGCTGTAAATATTCCACCTTATAAATACATGACATTTTATTTATCCATTTCCCTATTGGGATACATTTGGTGGTTTCCAATTTTTCATAAAAACAAATAATTAAAATCCTTAGCCGTGTCTACTTATACATGTGTGTGATTCTTCTCCAGGGCATATGACTAGATCACACCAATGAGAAACTGCCGCACCAGAGGGTGTGCTGTTTTCAGTTTTAATAGGCTCTCCAAAGGGGCTCTATTAAGTTTACTTTTTTTTTTTTTAAAGCTAACCAATTGCGACTTTATCTATTAAGTTTATATCCCCATTTTCCCCACAACCCTGTCTACACTGGATTACCAAACTTTTAAAGTAATACTAAATCTTTATTTTAAACAAAACTACACAGTGATTACATTAAAATGACAATGTTTTCTGAGATCAAAGTTGGGATGACCTGCTTGACATTTATGTGGTGGGAATCAAGATGGCCTCTGATAATCTAGACTTTGTGATTGGCTCACTGCACTAGCCATCCTGGGAATGGGCACTGCTTTTCAGAGATAACCTGATTAGCTTTCACATTCCCTTTTCTTCCTGCCTACCGAGACCTTCAGGGAGAAGGGTGTGAACTGCAGCATGTGGCTCACAACCACCCGAGGAATATAGGGGGCCCAGGTGACACCGATAGCTCTTCAGGGGCAACTTGTCTTATCTCATTAATTTGCGTGTGTGTCAGGGGAGGGGTGAGTACAGCTAGGAATCAGCTGGATTCAGAGTTAAAACACAACGATCCAGAAACACAGGAACTGTGAACACTGATTTTGGGGCTGCCATCAAGTTGCCACCTGGCCTTGTGGAGAACACCTCCATTTGGTGGCTCCTAGTCCCCAAAGCAAATCTAGGCAATCAGTTTCCCTCTTTCCCTCCCTCCCTCCCTCCTTCTCTCTCTCTCTTTCTTTCTTTCTTTCTTTCCTTCCCCCATCCCTTTTCCTGATTCTGTCTAAAACATAGGAGAATATCTTTTTTTTTTTTTTTTTTTTGAAAAAAATCCCCCTGGGTTTCCCCGGCCAAGGTGCCATGGCATCATCATAGCTCACTGTAGCCTCGAACTCCTGGGCTCAAGTGACCCTCCTACCTCAGCCTCCCAAGTAGCTGGGACTGTAGGCATGCACCACCACACCCAGTGAATTTTTCTATTTTTTTTTTTTTTTTTTGTAGAGACGGGGTCTCACTCTTGCCCAGGCTGGTCTCAAACTCCAGGGCTCAAGTGATCCTCTTGCCTCGGCCTCCCAAAATGCTAGGATTAAAGTTTCTCTTTCAAGAATGTTTAGAGCTGAGTAGGCTTTCCTTTCATTATAAAAGTTATTATTTTAGAAAAGTCAGAAAGAAAAATAAAGATATCACACAAAGATAACCACTCTTAACATGTTAGGTATTTCCTTCCAGCTTGTTTTAAAACATAGGTTTCATTTGTTTGTAATACACAGTTGGGATCTTATTATGCAAGCTATTATGCTTTTCATTTAATAATTTAGACATCTCCTGTACTATTATATATTCTTCAGAGACATAGTATTTAAAGGCTGCACGTTCTTCTGCCACTTGCTGATAACTGGACATTTAGGTTATTTCCATGTTTTTGTTGTTATAAATAATTTGTCATTCATTTGAGGTAATAATAAAACCAACCTTAGTGCATATTGCAGATAAAACGCTACGTTAAATGTTATATTAGGATAGTAATAAAGTAATAAAAATTGGGATTTTGGGGTAAATGATCTTTAAAATGATTGAAAAAAATCTAAAAGAGATGGTTTTTTCGAAGTGCATTATCCAAACTTGTCACTGCACAGATGAGAGGCTGTTCTTTCTTTGGTTATACCCAAGACAGCCCAGAGAGGCATCAAAAGAAAGTTGTATCCACTTTAGGCTTCTGGTGAGGCTCAGCCCTAAAGATAAGAAGGAGGTAGGCCTGAGTTACCCACAAAAGTCACTCTATAAAGGTGGCAAGTTCTAATCCACGTTATCGCAAGACAGGCTTTCTGCCCTACCCTTCCAACGCAAACATGAGGAAAGATTTTATTTTTAGTTGAGCACTGCATTAAATAAAAATTAATTCTTTAAACAATATATGTAATACATATTATTCTAACTACTATTATATATATTCTAACATATACATTATATATTCTAACATATATACTATAAAGCATAGCAATAAATGAATACCCAACTCAGCTAGAATATTCCAACATAGTGTATCTTCTTCATCTTTTTCTATCCTGTCCCATGCCTGCTCCAAAGGTAACTATCTTAAGTTTTGCGTTGCATATTCTACTGCCTTTTAAATAATAGTTTTATCACATAGTTATGTATTTCTAAACAATGTATAATTTAGTTTTTACGTTTTGTTTTTGATCTTTTAAACAAAGGTACAATATTATATGTGGTTTTATGTCACTTGCATCTTTCACTCAATTATTTGTTTTATTATTCATCCATATGGTTTTGTGCAGCTATTAATAATATGAATAAACTGTGTGTTTGTATATACCACAATTAATTTTTCCAGTCTCCTGTAAATGATTGCTATGAACATTGTTGTAGGCTCCCTATCTCTTGAAGAGCAGACACATTGAGGTGTGTATCCCAGGAATGAAATTACTGGGTCATTAATGTATGTGTATTCAGCGTTAAAATATAATGCTGCACTGTGAAATGCTGATTTGCAAGTTTGAATTGTATCTTTGCTAGAATAGGCCCAGCTTAGCGTTAACAGAAACCAGGCCCTTAAATTATAGTCCTTAGTCTGGTTAGGATCTCTTTTTGTTTTTGCTCTTTGGAAAAGCAGATGGTCTGCTTAAATGTAAGAGAGCAAGAATAAAGCTAGGAAAATTCTTTCAGGCTTAGCAAATATGTAGCACTGGGGTTACCATGATCCCTGGCAGGCATGACTGATCAACCAGGAACACCTTGCTCCTGAACTCCAACTGGCCTCAGAATCTTTTCCAGCAGGGCTCTCCAAGGGGCTACAACTGATCAGTGGGAACTGGCATTTGAAACAAAGTCTATTTGCCACCCCTCATAGATGTTTTGATTGGTACTGGAAAGGAGTGAAGGTGAAATAGTACGGTGAGGTCTGCTTACCACGTTGCTTTTCTTGGACACAATATTTTACAGTAGATGAGACACTAGGATGGTGCATTAGCTGGTAAATGTTGCTCTCTGCCCCTTTAGCTCTTCTCTCTGAGGGTTCCTTGTTCTCGGGAGGACAGTGAATGGGAATTCCGCCATACCTTAGCCCACATGATCCTGCTTGCCTTTACGTAAAATGGAGGTAATGTGGGAATTCATGATGCTTTTTGGGGGGGGGTTGGGAATTTTTGATGCTGTTTTTGTTGTTGGCATTGTTCAGATTTTTAAAGCTCATTTTAGAAAATGTATAAATTATAGAAAAACCAAAGGAAGAAAATAATAATTCTTTGCAATCTTACCATTTGGAAAAAACTATTAACATTCTGGTGTATATCCTCTGTTGTCTCATGCAAATGTAATGCATATATAATATTTTCTTGATCCTGATGAGTAGTAGGTGGGGTGGGGGTCCTGGGAGAAACATTACATTAAATGTATACCTTAATGGTAGGACCTATTTCTAATTTCCAGCTATTAAAATATGGGGGAAGAAGTTTATTTTAGAATGGAAGGAAAATGGAACACATACAGTGTGCCACATTTATCAACTCCAGAACACATATTTTGTCAATTACAGGATACGTATTTCATTTTAACATTTAAATCATGATGTATCCTAAAATCTGTGGCTCATTATGGTTTAATTGGCAGAATGATTTTTGCTTTCTTAGTAGTGAATAAAAATGGTGCATTTAATAATCATTTAATGATTTTAATAA